TAGTTAGGGGAGGGGTAAAGAGGCGCATTGCTTTTATCCAACAATGAGGGCTAACGTGCAGAGAAGGGGTAGCCGACCCGACATGTACTCAAAAACGGTTTTAGGCGGAGGAATATGATTTCAAGCTAAGCCTCAGTAGGGGAGGAGCGGTGGGATGATTACCTCGTGCAAAAAGCAAGGATGGAGTAAGAGTTGAATATCCCATTGACTCACCCAAATCGGTACTCGTCGCCTCCTAAAGCTCACAATCACATCAAAAAACTGTATGTTCTTGGCTGAGAAACGTTAATGTGCACAGCTATGGGCTAACCTCCTTATGTTGAACGTTGAAAAGAAGAGTAAGTCCCTCAACTTCATTATCACCTCGGATCTTTGTCAAGGCATACATACCACGATGCCGGTGCAGATCAAAATCACAGAAATATCCACTTCACTCCACATCACGCACTTCTCTCAGCAGCTCACTCTACTCCAACAACTTACCCACCAAGTTACTGCCTTATATATAAGAAGGAAGTGTTGATTAGAGCTAGGTTTTCCATATCGCTACCTTTTTCGTAATCATAAGTTTTGCGGACGGACAAATCGACAAACCGACACACCAATGCACCGACGCACCGATAAACAGACGAAGTTTTAAACCGACACACCACGTTTCTGCTTTATATGTGAGAGCATGGGCCTAGGTGATGTAAAGGCAAGTGGAACATTATCGAATACGCATGATTGAAGGATCAAATCCCGGATTGATACACGTCCAGGCTAACCGAGCCTTCCATCCCATCGTTACTATGCGGCGTAAACGTTTAGATCACGTGAGCATGGCGAGTATTGCAGTAAAAAATCTACAACAATAAACGAAGCGTCTGAAAAACATGATTTCAACTTTGAACATTTCTGAAACGATCATAAAATCCTTTTCTAGCATCCTTTCCCTTTATAGAGACTTTCACACTGCTTCTCATCTGTTGCTGTAATTTTTAGTAAAAGAGATTGAAGATGAAGAAGATAGCAGAATGAGACACTTGTATATCAAAAAAATCGCAAATATTTCAAAAGAAGCACGTTTCTATGACGCGAAGAACGCCAAAGGACGTTGTGAAAAGACGTGGCGCGAAATGTCTACATGGGATTTCTCGGAAGACAGAAGTTGAGATATTTTTAAATTTCTCCACTTGAGCGAGCTCGTAGTAACCACAAAAACTTGTTAAAATAAAAAAAGTGGATGCTCACCGTTGGAATCAAGATCATCCATCTTTTTACGAAAAATTGTGTTCCACTTCTCCTGACCTAAAAAAGTGACTTTCTGAAGACCAGTGTAATCAGGTAAACTGACCTCCATCTCTTTTCTTCAATAACCGTGTGTACCGTCAACCGGAACGATGATTGAGAACACACCCCGTAGTGGCACTTTAACTGTATCACATTTGGCAACTGAGTTTCGTTGTGGGAGAGAACGCTACTTAACGAGAACGTTACTATTGAAACGCATCACTATTGAAGATGTATCGATAGAAAAAGTTCACCTTACCTAAAAGGAGAATAGAGTAGCTAGAAGGAAATTTCTGAAGACTCGCTAGTTCACTTATTTTGTCTGTGACGAGCTAGCTTAGTGAAGCACATGCCAAAAGAGTGGACCCGTTCTGGACATCAAAATGAAACTACGAAAAAGGTGGTGCGAATCCTTATCAGCACAAGCCCTCTACAGCTCAGTTGGAGAGATCCAAAGTTCAGCTAACTAAAAACAGACGCGTCACTAAAAATTGTGAGCCTGAAAAAGCCGTTTTCTTCGTTTTATCTTGCAGTTGTTGTGAGGTTCTATGGTTCTTGATGGAGTTAGCATAATCATCAGTCAGCATGAACACAGTCGCAAAGTCAGTTATGTATGGAGAATGATCACTGTCGGGAAGATTGCAGATTGAAGCAGTCCATCCTTCGTGTGAAATTGACATCATATTCTCAGATGAAATTAATGGCTTTCTAGAAAGAAGGAGAACTCTAAAATGATTTTCGTGAGAGAAATAGCCAGCTGAAAATGAGAGGACCTGTTTTCCATAAGCCTTTTTGCTGATCGTTATCATTACTTAGGTCTCATCCCTAAATTCTGTTCTGTGCAAGCGCATTGGTATGGTGACCATCTTTCGAGGAATAAAAAAGTTGAAATTTCGCATTCCATTTTGAACGACCTTTCTGCATTAACGCATTGCCGCATGGAAATAGGACGGCCGTAGTGTCGAAACTGTATCCCTGCAGTGTGTCGAGAGTGAAACGAAATGTGAAAGTCAGCAATTACTACAAGCCTTGAAAATCGAGAGGAACGTTCAGCGATTTTGTTCAAAAAATCATCAGTAATTAGATGAGGAAAGAGAATTGCATTCAGGAGAATATGCAAAAACAAAGGAATGTTTGAGTTGATCATCATCAGAGCTGGTTCATTCCGCGTGACTATCGGTGAAACACTAACTCTGGCATCATCAGAGAATCTCCGTTGCTGCAGAATCCAGCAGTGCTGCTTGGATAACTTGAGGTTGTGGTCTCAGACTTGACACTTGGTCCACTCCCTTGCTACCAACCAGGACCATTTAAGAAACTACCTTCAATCCTACACACTTATATTATAGAACAGCGCAGTAAGCCCAGTTTTCCGCATTGACAGCTGTGTTATGAAATACTCTTTGCTTGCTTCTCTATTTCCTTCGAGAAAAGGATGAAGTTATCGATTGATATGAAACCTCATGTTCGGAGGGTAACTTTACCATTTACATGAGAGAATTCGTCAATGGCAAAGGACAATTCGTCCAAGTTATCCGAGTTGTTCATTGTGTCTCCTCTCCAGCATGTTTAATCTCGCACTGTACCACAATAAAAACAAAGGTGATTTGAAAGTGCTTACACATCTTATGGCACAAAGCTCACAAGGTGTCTTAGGCTTGGCATACTAGCAGCTCCAATGCTGTAAAACAAGACTTATTTCCAATCAGCATTCAGAAGTGAAGCAAGTTTTCGCAGCGAGGGGCACTACTTCTAGAAAGAGACGCGAACTGCTTTGTAGAATTCTTTGCATCCGATTAAGCCACCACAATAAGGCGTTCGGTTATGAGCTCTAGAGAAATATATCCTGCGAAGTCGTCAGTATCATTCCAAGACAGCCGTTGCTCGGACAAAGGCTGGCGAAGACTCACGAATGTGTAAGAACTGCAACCGACGTGTCCTGAAACCGGAGTGATGTGAGTTCTTGTGGAAGCAAAACTCTAGTAAGGATTTTTCTATCGTAATAGGACATTATTTTGGTCAGGAACCCCTGAGCTACAAAATTTTGAATCTTCATAGAAAGTTAATTTGGTTGTGCTCACTTCATGGAACTTTCGCTCTTCAGTCCTCTCAATTGTAGATGGCTCTGAGCGCTCAAACTCTTTCCTGCGTAGGTATTATGATCGTCATTAATGGCGTCCGGAACGTTTTCGTCAGCTGAATTCCATCATTGTACAGAATGGCACCGACGTCCTCAAAAGTCGTCCCATGAAACGGGGTTTGAGTCCAGGAAAACCATAAAATTCAATGGTAGCCGGTAATGATGCAAAATATTACATACGAATTGTCCCGAAATTGTGGAATCACATCGATCCCGTTCAACTTTAAGATTTCACAGACAGTAGGTACTCCATACAACCTAAGCTAACTTTTCACTGACAATCATGATGTATTGTGGGTTTCTACCTGATTTGAAACTGCTTTTGCGAAATCCATTAACGAGAAATACTGCAACCTTCGGAAATGCTCAATCTCTTGATTGGATGCACTATAGCCTATATAGCCACACCAGGAATCGGTCATTTCTGAAGGCGTCTTCGAAATTGGTATACGTTTTCTAAGAGAATCCAAAAATAAAAGTAACGATAAAGTCTTGGGCGTTACTCAATCCCGTCAAAAGGACGCATTGGACTTCCATTAAGAATCGTAGTGGCGTATTGAATACGTAGGTGACCTATAAAATGACTCGCCGATGTACAAGTCAGTGCTTTTATCCTGCCAGACGAATTTTGCTAGAACCACCGTTGTCACCTGAACAGCATAGGGAAGCTCAGGGAGTTGTAGCCAACCCGCTATTGAAATCCGGAATACTCTTTGGAATGATCGATTTCATTGTTGTTTACATTCAGCATAAGATGAAGACTGTTCCTTGTGTAATTCGAACTCTTTCCTCTTCAACTTTTGTTTTGATACTCAAATGAGTTTTGCCGTGGATTCGTGAAACATCCATGGAACGTATTAGACCTTAAAACAGTATGATCAGTCGGCAAACCCTGCAGGTGCTTTATCATGAACTTTTAGAACAACAATAGTATGGTCGATTGGTAGCACTGAACAAGCAACCGACCGAAAGTTCAATTTATGCGCGGCTCTGAGACTGAACCCAATCATGGTGAGTCATGCGAAATTGAATGTGTAATGGATTTTGGAAATACAATGCTCTGCGTTAGGAGTGAAGACTTTCAAGAAGCAGTGAGCCCCACTAACTATTTGAAGACAAGCACAACAGCTACCAGGCAACTTGAACCTACTCTCTAATACTATAAAACCTCTCAAGGAGCAGCAGACAATAAAAATGATAATCAAACCCGAAGCTCTATTGAGTTCATATCCACCGGGTATCCGATCTCTCCTTCTCTACCAACTTTACGCTAAAGATGAAAAAAAAGTCAAGAGCGATGACCGACGACCTTTCTAAGATGCATCAAAGTACGAAGAAAAAAGGTTCACTGAAAACCGGTATCGTGAACGACCTTAATTGTAAACCGTCACACCGTATATATACTCTGAGGTTGAACCTCTTGCAACCCTCCTAACCTTCTCAATGAAAGTTTCACTTAGCTTTGTTCGTAGTACTTACAATATTGCCTCTTTCAACGAGTTTAAAAGCGATATTTTGAATTGCTACACAAATTCCAGGGAAGAAACGTGAAGGAAGCGATGTAGTCATTAAAACTTTACCGTTGTAGATGCGTCACGTTCTCCTCCTTTTTACGACTGTTGGAGCCGCCTTAGCAAATTATGCCTCCCAAAGTTCGGGCTATGAGGTAGCTGAGCAAATACAGCCGGCTCCAGCTCCAGTATCTTCGAGTGGAGGCGATCAGCAGGCATATAACACTGATGGAAAGGAGGCCCCAGGCCCTCAAATAGTTGAAGCTCCTCTGCCCGCACCAGCTCCAGCTCCAGCTCCGGCCCCAGCTCCAGCTCCAGCTCCAGCTCCAGTTCCAGCTCCTGTTCCAGTTCCAGTACCAGTACCTGCTCCAGTTGCGGTTCCAGTCCCAGCGCCAGCGCCTGTCGAACCCACGGTAGTAGTCCAACCCGAGCCAGCACCTGCAGCACCGGTAGCAACAGGTGCATATCAGGCTGCACCTGCGGAACCCGCTGCAGGCAATGGTGTGGTGAGTATTCAACAGATTTAATTGCTCGATTCTGGTCAAACTATGTGTGCCTTTTTAGGAAGAAACTGAGGTAGGCTACAATGCTCGTTCTCGATTCCGTGTTCGTAGACGTCATCACCAACGTCATTGAATGCCTGGCAGATATAACATTTCTCTGTACTTCTGTTCATCTATTACTTATTCAAATGAAAGTTTTCGCCATCCTTGTGTACCTGCATCAGATACAACGTTCAGAGAAAGCAAGAAGTCGTCGTGAACTTAACTAGCGTTACTGCTTGATTTGATCACATTGTTTCTTTGTAAGGAATGCAAGATGTTCTCCACTTCAGTCGAACCTGTCCAAGTGGCAACATGGTCACGGAACTTCTGGAAAAAAGTAGTTTCTTCTCCATAGGAAGTGAAGGGATAGCATCAACATGCAACATTATTTTTTAACAAAGGAAGAAGACAGATAGTGTGACTAAAGCGGAGAATGGCTAATAAATGGGCCCTCTGAAGAATTCCTGCACAAGCACGTGTTAAGAAATTCTATCATCATCAAGTATCAAGCACAAAGCGAGAAGACATTCCGTTTTCATGCCCTTGTTTCTCCAATACTTTTACTGTATCACATGTTATCAGCCGCATGCTAGAAATAACTTCATATTGACCAGCACGACATTCGCTTGCTAAGTTAGCAGAGTCTGTCAAGAAGTGCAGGAAATTCAGTTTGGCAGTACTGCTCCTCCTCCTTCATCCTTTTCCCCGCCACACTCCACGTACTCGATCCTGCTCTCCCACCCCGGGGCTCTACTCGGTCTACTCGTATGAGCCCATGAACTCATTCTGGTGGAAATATGTACATAGTTCATCGCATTACATGAGAAATTGAAGCGCTCACAGAATCCCTTATATGTAAGTAGAACGTATCCCGCCAATGCTCCCTGGGAACTCAACCTAATTTACACAAATCCTCCCTCGCAAAAAATTCACATTTCTCATAGAGAAGACCAAGACATAAATTGCACTTCGTAGCATAGTGAATAAATTCTCCGTTAAGGTCACATACTTGCGAAAACCTACCCCATGGGAATGTTTGAAAAAGCCTGTTCTGCCTAAAGCTAGACAATAGTAACACTTTTGTGTCGAAAGTCTATAGGAAAGCTCGGAGTGTCCCTGGTTGTCAGGAGGGATCGAACGACCTTTTGGTGATAAGCTGTACTCAAGGGCACGTAACGCATTTGAATCCTATCCGTAAAAATGTGTAACTGAAGGCAAACTTCGAGAATCTTGCTGCAACTTGCCTTCTGCTGGCCAGCCTTTTACGCATACCGGATTAAAGAGGAAGCTATGGGGTGTCACCATGTAGTGCTGGTTGGTGTCAACCGGCCACTTACTAAAGAGAGAGACATTAATAGGCCACTTTTACTTCAAATCGCGGAGGTGGTATAGCGGCAAGTGGCGCTCTATCTCACACGCGCGGTCAGCGATTCGAATCCCGGATCGATATCCGCCTAGGCCAACCAAGTCGTCCATCCCTCCGAAGTCGATTAATTGGTACCAGGCTCGTCTGGAGGATAAAAGCACTGACTTGTACATCGACTGGCCACAGCAAGTCATTGTATAGGCCACATACGCACTCATTACGCCACTACGATTCTGGATGAGAGCCGAATGCGGGGGCACATCCCTCAGATAGGATTGATTAACGCCAAAAACTTTATTCTTTATCGTTTATTTTACTTCAAGGCACAGCCCACGATAATTTTGTGGAACCCTTTTCTTACGAAAAGCGGAACTGTTGATGTGGAGTAGTGTATCGGCGGCGAAGTGAGCGAGAAAATCGCCTTCATCGCAAGGAATAAGGCTTTTCAAAAGTAGACGAAATAGAGTTGTACAAGATTACCATGTCGGAAATGGCACGCACGGGGTATTCGGACGGAATTTTAGCTGTCACATTTGAGTAAAAAGCTGACTGATTGAACCAAAACATTCAAACTGCCGTCCACTGCCGTCGTGGGCCATCACAAGTAGTTTTAACTTTCAACATGGGAGTTCCTCGAGACAGTACGGCCTCTACAGCCCCGTTGAAACTCGTCTGCGATGGGTGTGGCATTCGACCGGTACAATCTCTGCGTCCTCATGACGATCTATCCAGGCCCTTCACAGATGTGGCAACACCACCTGTGGTATGGTCATCGGGTGTGCGACGTCAGTCTTGACTGACATTACTGCTCGCCGAGGTGCGAAGTGACCCCAATCGTTACTAACCTCATCTTAATTACGCGCCTCCCCTTGATCGTAACTAACCTCATCTTACTTATGAAAGTGATGACAATGATGAGAATAGTGAGAAAATGGAGNNTGGAAAACAAAAATTCGAGGGTCATAAAAATGTAGTCCGTGTAAGATGTAAAAAAAAAAACTTTTTTTCTGATTTTCCACTAATCTGTGATATCGAACAACATTTACAGAAGCGACGTAGTTGTTTGATATTGGGGCATCTCGTGTTTGAAAGGTCACTGAAAGCCCGCCTTCTGATCAGTTAGGCCATTTCACAATTCTCATGGAATATTACAATACTTCAAGCAATTTCACGCCAACCCTTTTACTATGGTACTCGCGTACCGACGCAACCTCCACAAATGCAGCTCGGCTCCGCACCACAACCATTACACTACGCTACTTCCGTATAAAGCTTACGGAGCAGATCGCATCCAAATTGAGGAGTTTGGCATGAAGATGTCCAAATTCGTAGCGAACAAGACCACATGAGCTGTTTAATTATTGTCTTTAGATATTTCCTATTAGAAAAATTAGGCTTCTTCACATTTTATAATATTTTTTTGTTGAAATTTTTATCAATCTTGCATGAAAAAACCCTCTAAATTAAAGATCATGAGAACTTTACGTTGAAAAACTAATTTGCTTGAAGTTTCATTTTCTCAAATTTCCTATCATTCGGTACTGACAACAGAATAGAATAAGAGCACTGAGGTTGAATACAAATTGAGCTTACCATGACCTGTAACATCATCCATGGTAATTCGCAGGTTGGAAGTCCCAGCATTTGTCCTGTTTTTAGAAAACGCAAGGTGGATGTTTCATAATGAGATAGATTACATAATCGTCAGTAGTGGCAACTCCTTGTCCTTGTTGTTCCGAACAACTCGAAGAGATTGAGGGTTCGCCTTTCTTTCGACACCTGAGCACATAGCGGCGAAGCTAATTGTAAGAAGCCATATATATGTAGATGTATGTATTACACTACTTCAACCCTACCTCCTCCATTCCATGGAAAAAATTTGACATAAACAGTAAGAGGAAGAGTTCGGCATCTCGCAGAACATCTTCGGTATTGTTGAAATGTTTGCTGAGTGACATCATTACTAGGAAGGATTCAACCTGTAATACCGAAGCCTCGCCAGCTGAGGGCTATGATCAACACGCACACACAATTTTAGGGAGACGGGCGTTAGGAACGATTTCGGGTAATCGATTTGCCGCACGCGGCTGTCGCGGACCACTCATTCGCCGTTATTACAGCTCTAGCGTTCTTCATACAGCTCAATTGATATGCGATCATTATTTTATGTATAATTCTACTATTAGTACTTTTGCTCTTTTATTTCTTACCTATTGCTGCATCCTGCTACATTCCTTCGCGCGCGACGCCCCTCTCACCGCGACGCGACCATTTCNTTCCTAACGCACCACACCCACAATTTTACGATGCTCCGTGAGGGTTACATGTGTATGGAGAGGTGATAGGGAAAAAGAGGAAACAGAAAAAGGCAGCGCGGCGGCTGGATTGGAGAAAACTGAGAAGACCATCGTAATGCCTGTGGAAACTCTTGCCTTTTCCATTTCTTCCTCCTAGAGCCTCACAGAGTGTTTCGGGTAGCAATAGCTGCCCTTGTTTGAATCGTCAATTCGATACCACTGGGCCTCGCTCGCGGCGATCGCTTGATGTGCTATGGAGGCTGTGTCTAAAGACAAAGAGTTTAGGTACAACCAGCACTACAGAGGGCCTTCTTCAGGATATATGTGGCTCGACAGCTCTAATTATGACGAAGGATTGAGTGAAACAATGAACTCCTATCGAACGAACTTAGAGGCCTTGCAGACATAACGAAAGTTACTACAACAAGTATAGGGTTGGGAAGAGAGTTTTGCGACAAGAAATTCGAAGCGTTGAAACATCGTATAAACAATGTGAACACGGCGGAAACGGTAATAAAATTAGGAAACGTATCTGGCAAAATATATGAGTGATCAATGGCACGCACGTAGACTTCTGTAGCATTACATTCAAAAAATGGACAATACCCTATTCGTAACTCCACATTCTATTAGATACGCCAAGAGAAAAAACGTAGGTATAAATTCTTTGATCATCGGCAATTATTGGATACTAGCAGTGATCACCGATCAACGGTCACCAACCGGTTGGACAGCTCCGCTGGGGAGATGCCAGCTTTCGAAATGACGCAAACATCGTCTCATACTTTTCTGGGGATGAAGAGACCCATCCCATAATGAAGATAAGGGCAGTCTACATAGTCAAAGCTGTCCCTCAACTCAATGAACTATATTTAGCCAATGCGGCGAGTAAAAGGCGTCCGAAATCGTAATTCTGGTCCCTACAGAAGGACAGCTCACATCGGAATTTCGCTTCAGACACCTGTCGAAATTATACCGGATTAGCTTTGTTCCAAGTTCTTCACCAATCGTGCTCTCGGAACGTTGTTCCTTTTAATTGTCATGTGCTCAGCCTTCTCGAGCGTTTCTCGCGGGAAAATTTGGTAACTTAGCGGTAACCGAAAACGGCAGCCAGGGATTACATACTCCCAGTCACAGCTTCTTGACTTCTGGACGAAAGGCATCAGCGATTTGCTCAAAGGATAAGAGAAGGTTGTTGTTATCTTTAGTTATTTTACGGAATTCCATTGATCTGTAAAATTTTAAAGAAGGAATACGAAATAGCTCTCATTCTGTCAAGAGGCTTTTTTGCCAACCAAGTAAGTCATCACCTATTCACTTTTATTTCGAATCCTATACCTTTCAGCGAAGCCTGCTATAATTATAACCTGAGGACATTCTCTTCACTTAGAAGTAATCTATGTAACATGGATTAGCTAATATTTTCCA